AGTCAAGTGGAGTCAAGCAGAGTTACATGGAGTCAAGTGGAGTCAAGCAGAGTTACATGGAGTCAAGTGGAGTCTCGTAAAATTCTTGTCTATCTTCAGAAATCTCTTATAGAAATTTGATTTTGATATTTTTTTTATTTGTTTCTATCATGTGTACTATCAGATGAAATATTAATTAGTCTTGATTTAGAGACAAGCATACATCATCTTTCTCTTATTCCTATCCAGCACTTTCGTTTCTTCCAAAACTTCAAAGTCAGCAAAATGTTGTTTATTTTATTGAAAAAATTCAAGAAAGTGCTACATAAAGAAAAAAATCAATACTTTTATTAGTCTGTTGTGCTTGAAGCAATCGGTCGTTTGAAATTTTACTTTTTTTGTCGGCTAATAACTAACAAGCAGTTTGTTTATGTATATATTGTATATTATCATTGATTGTAACTTTAAAATAAGAATGTTCTATGTGAGTCTGGACCGTATTAAGGACTCTTATTCCAACAAAGTCTTCTCTCCTTGCATCTATTAAATTTCGAGCATCGTCTTGTTCGTCTTCATCACTATAATTATCATTAGAAGGAAAATCATCATTATTGTCATCATTCATGTTGAGATCAGTTGTTGTTTCATCATTATCATCATCAGCTATTTCAAATTCTTCATCATCCATATTGCTTAGTTGAGACGAGTAGTCATACATCTTTGAATTTGAATTTAACTGTTTAAACACATACTCACTTAATAATTTTAAAACAAGAACACGTTAATCTTTCAATAAATTCAATATTTCTAAGTCACTAAGCATATCAATAGCTTCATGATAAGCCTCGGTGATAATTTGTTCGACATCTATTTGATCAATCTCTATTTAACTTTGTATAAATAATGATTGACGATCATATCGATGTTTGTAATGAATCGGAAAGACTAAATTATTAGCAGATTCATCATTTAACTGTTTGAACTTAATATCATTCAGTAATAACAATCTTTGGGCACGTTGTAAAAAATCATGCACAGTGAAGTTGACTATAGTGGAATAGATTCCACTTAATGCTTGTGTGTTTCGGAAAATCGATTCACAGACTTGCGAGCTAAAAGTATGAATATGTAATACCTGCGATAGTAATTGTTTTTGTTGAACAAGTAAAATTAAATGTAATAAATTATGTGCATTTATTTCCACTGATAAATATGTTGGTCTAGTAATAAAATATCTGTTTTTGTTTTTTTCTGTAGATTGTGTTGAATTGAGTGCTTTCAATTTAATCCATGTTAACCATATTTGGCAGAAAAATACGACGCACCAAGCAGATCGAAGACCTAAAATAAAATTTTATTACATATGATATGTCTTAAGTGCAGAGTTTGTCACTCTCACGCAGTCAATATGGTAAACACGCATACTTACGTTCAGCAATCGTTGTTTTTTTTCTCAATATAAGCCACTGTAATCATTTTTAATATCTGAAGATATATCAAAGTTCCCCGAGTATTAGCATTATCCTTTAAAATTTTAAATACATCAGTAGATGTTAATTTTAAACAGGAACTAAAGTTTTGACGATCTTTATGATTAATATCATATTTCGTCAAGGCATGATCAAGTTTAGTATAGTTTTTACTATCGATAATGTCATGTAAATGATTGATCGATATATATTAATTACCAAGGCATAATTCAGCTATTGATGATAATAAACGATTACGCCATTTTGTAACCAGATGTGTTGCGTCTTGAAAAAACAATAATAATTGTTGTTCACGTAAATAAAACTAAGGCCAATGTGATGTTGCTTTTATTTGAAAAGCTTGTGGATGTTCATGAACTTGAAAATTAGGAAGAGACCCAAAAAACCACTCATTAATCTCATGACGCGTAGGTATTTTGCACTAGCATCTATAAAACAAAAATCCAAGTTTTTTTACTGGCATCATATTTTTTCTATTTTCAATAGTAAACCGAAGAAATGAAACGCATCATATTTTTATAATACTAAGAACTTCATACAAGAGTGGAGTCACATGGAGTCAAGTGGAGTCGAGTGGAGTCAAATGCAGTCATTGAGTCATAAAGTCTCCCATTTTTCCCTTACCTTTATAAGATATCGTTATTTTCTCAAAAAAAACCCTTTCCACCGTTAAAAAATTAAGTACCGAATTCGGAGAAGCTGACTACAGATTCCGATTCTTCGACCTCGAAGATATGGGTATGAGACGAAGACGTACCAATACACACTCATACTCATACCACACACCCACACCCACACCCATACCCCACACCCACACCCATACCACGCACCAACACCCACACCCACTCTCTAAACTTATTTTTAGATCGAAAACGTTTTACTTGTACCGCCCTCTTCAATTTTCGCCATAGTAGTGGTGGCTATTCTTGAATAGCCATTAATTAATATGTTCATCTCTGCAGAAACAACCTCTTTCTTGGTGTTTTATCAATAAAAATGAGAGTTGCCCATCATAACTATGTTATAAAAATGTTCCTTTTTCAGTTATAGAGTATATTACATGAAAATCTTTTGAATTTCTTCATAGGCCCCAAATAGATATGGATATCACTGATGCGAAGTGCATCTGATATTAATTCGAAGAAAGAAACGTCTTTCGACCCCTCTCACAATGTATCAAATCACTAGTTTGCTTGTTCTAATCTTATTTCTATCATTTAAGATTTATCAACATTTCAACATTCCAACATTCCGTTGGCCTATAATAAGGTAAAGATCATCGTTAGAGGGTATCGATGGCTACTCAGATCAAACCGGAGACGAAGTGTAATAATTTTTTAAAATTTGAGTTACTGAATCAAACGCGTCCAGATGCGGTTCTATTTCTAATCGCGTCTAATCGCAACTGTTTTCTAACTGGGTATAGACGCGATTTCGTTTGGAATCGCGTTTCCACTGAAACATTTTTTACGTCTAGATGCGGTTTTAGTTTGAATCACGTCTGACCGCGATTTGATTTTGAATCGCGTCTCGACGCAAGAAATGTTTCACTGGAGACGCGTTTTGCGCATTCGATTGCTGCGATTTAGACGCAAGCGAAACACGGTCCAGACGCGTTTTGATACAAAAAATATTTACATGGGAGAAGTATAGTTTACTATAGCAGGAAATTTTGACTCTTATGAAGACTTAAGAGGTCTGTGCACGTGTGAATGCGATCCTTAGTGATAAAAGACATAGAAACGGCACCTTGAAAGTTGCAACAACCGATACAGACAACTGTACACCGAATAAAAAGAACATCATGATCTACGAGGAAAAAGGTGTAACAGTATTACGAAAAACGTAACGCTGTTACGTCTATTTTTTGGTTTTTTTTTCAGACGAATAAACGTAATTAGAAGTAAAATTTTTTTACCTTTGGAAAGCTCGTTCCTACTCTACAAAGTTTACTCTGGAAGCATTTCATTTGAAGAACGACTTTCGCAGGAAATTAGAGCTCAAAGAGGAGCACTTCAACTTTAGGGTCCTTTTGCGTAACAGCGTTACGCGATAGAAAAATCTTTCTAGTAACTCGAGATTTCAACGGAAAAAACTCATTTTTATTGCATAAATAGAACATGATGAGCTGAGTCGAATGATGTTTGAACAAGTTTTTCAATCCTCATAATTTTTGAGATAATTGAAAAATATTGTATCAGAAATGTAACAGCGTTATGTTTGGACGAGCTGATATACTAACTCAATAATTGCAAAAAGTACATATCAAATTCTACGTAATTGTCTTTCAGTTGCACTCATCTAAAATTAAATCTCATTATATTCATTTATATAAAAATCAATATGTTCACCAAAAGTCATAAGCCATTCAATGCCTAGCAATACTTGATGCACGTAATGCTGCATACTATTCCCTCGACTGAAGGGAGGATCATATGAAAAAAATGTGTCTGTTGGTTTGTTGGTTTATGTCAGGGTCAAAGGTCAAAGATCAAAGGTAAAAAAAACATCGTCTTAAAAATTCAATGGGTTTGTGGTAGGTCAAGGGTTAAAGGTTAAAGGTCAAAGGTCAAATAAGCAGCCAAACGCTATTATAGGAAGGACATATAGCTCCTCAAGTCCTATTGTTGGGGGTACCCGAGGGGGTTCAAATCTTTTCCCCTTATTGTGAGGGAAAGCGATGAGCATGTTCGGACCAGACACAGGGTTATCGAGGGTGCTCTATCGATTGATGGGTATATGTAGGGGTCCCCATCCATCCCAACACTGAGAAATAGAATCCTGCCATTTGATTGGTCCAAAAATAGACGAATCAGATTTCATGAGCCCTTTTTTCTCTTATTGTAAGGACAACATGTAGCAATGTTCGGGCCAATCATAGGGTTATCGAGGATGCTCTA